AGAAGGAAAATGACATTGACCTACTTACAAGATCACAGGGAAAAATATGTCAATTAACTTCTGAAGAAGAACCAAAAAGCATAGAATCTTATAATAATATTTGGCTGGTAGTTTCAACAGATGGAGCCGACAAAGTTTGCGAGGGAAATATTTATAGTGCAATTGAATGAGAATATTTTGCTTTGACTAATTAAATATTCAGGTGAGCGATACAGGCGCTCTGAGCCTCTTGTTTGCCAGTAGGATGTTACAAAGTTCGTTCAAATGAATGACCTTGACATATATTCAAGGTCACAGGGGTCAAATATATTTTAAACCTTTCAACAACTTCCTCTGAAAAACTTAGAGGCCTGGGGTTATGATATTTGGCCTGTAGCATGCTGGGATAAAGGGCTACCAAGTTTGTACAAATGAATGACCATTATTAATATTCAAGGTCACATTGGTTAAATATGTTAAAACCTTTAAACAACTTTTCAATAACTGAAAATCCTAGGATGATGCTATTTGGCCAGTAGCATATTGTTTTGAAGGGCTACCAAGCTTGTACAAATGAATGATCTTGACAAATATTCAAGGTCACAGGGGTCAAATATGTTAAAGGCTTTTAACAGCTTCTTCTAAATAACCAAAATGCCCTGGGTGATGATATATTTTACCAGTATCCTGTTGGGATTTAGGACTACCAAGTTTATTCAAGTGAATGACCTTGATTATATTCAAGGTCACAGGGGTAAAATTTGTTTAAAATCTTAAATGACTTCTTCTGAATAACCATGAGGCCCAGAATGTTGGTATGTAGCCAGTAGCATGCTATGATGAAGGGCTATCAGGTGTTTAGCTCACCTGCCCAAATGGCAAGTGAGCTTATGTCATGGTGTGGCATCCGTCGTCCATGCGTCCGTCTTCGTCCGTCAACTTTTCCTTTAAACAACTTCTGAAGAAGAAGGGACAGGCTTAGACCCATGATATTGGACTGAAAGCTTCTTGGTAGGAGCCCAACAAAGTTTTTGAATGAAAATGTCCTTGACCTACCTTCAAGGTCACAGGGATCAAATATGTCAAACTCTTTATACGACTTCTGAAATACCAAAAGGTATAGAATCTTTATATTTAGTCGGTGGATTCCTGGGATAGAGCCCGACAAAGTTTGCGAATGAAAATGACCTTGACCTGCTTTCAAGGTCCCAGGGGTCAAATATGTCAAACGCTTCAAACAACTTCTTTTGAAGAACTAAAAGGAATATAACCTTTACATTTGGCTGGTAGCTTCCTGAGATAGAGCCTAACAAAGTTTAAGAATTAAAATGACTTTGACCTACTTTCAATGTCACATCGGTCAAATATGTCAAACACTTCAAACGACTTCCCCTGAAAAACTGATAGGTATAGAATCTTTATTTTTGGCTGGTGGCTTTCTGGGATTGAGCCAAACAAAGTTTGCGAATGAAAATTACCTTGACCTTATTTCAAGGTCACAGGGAACAAATATGTCAAACTCTTTAAATGACTTCTTCTGAAGAACCAAATGGTATAGAATCTTTATATTTGGCTGGTGGCTTCCTTGGATAGAGCCCAGCAAAGTTTTAGATTGAAGATGACCTTGACTTACTTTCAAGGTCACAAGGGTCAAATATGTCAAACACTGCAAACAACTTCTGAAGAAGAACTAAAAGGTATATAATCTTCAAAATTGGCCTGTGGCTCCCTTAGATAGAGCCTGACAAAGTTTGAGAATGAAAATTACCTTGACCTACTTTCAAGGTCACAGTGTTCAAACATGTCAAACTCTTTAAACGACTTCTTCTGAAGAACTTAAAGGTGTAGAACCTTCATATTTACCTTGTGGCTTCCTGAGATAGAGCCCGACAAAGTTTGAGAATGAAAATTACTCGACATTCTTCAAGGTCACAGGTGTCAAATATGTCAAAAACATTGAGTGACTTCTTCTGAAGAACCAAAAGCTCCAGGGTGATGATATTTCGCCAAATAAATGACTTTCGTCCATATTCAAGATCACAGGGGACAATTGTCTTGAAATCCTTTAAAGGACTTCTTCTATATAACCAATAGGTCTGGGGTGATAAAATTGAGCCAGAAGAATGTTGGCATGAAGGGCTACCAAATTTGTTCAAATGAGTGACCTTCGTCCATATTCAAGGTCACAGGGGTCAATTGTCTTGAAATTCTTTAAATGACTTCTGCTGTATAACAAAAAGGTCCAGGGTGATGATATTTGGCTAGAAGTATGTTGGCATGAAGGACTACGAAGGTTGTTTAAATGAATGACTTTTGCCCACATTCAAGGTCACAGGGGTCAAATATGTTGAAATCTTTAAACAACTTCTTCTGAATAACTAAAGCATACAGGGTGATTGCTTGTTGATGTGAATGACTTTCATGGTCACATCTGGTCCATAGTGCATCAAACTTAAAAGCCATCTTCTCAATAAACAAAAGGTATAAGGTGGTAATATTTGGCAAGTTGCATTCTAGGAGGAAGGGCTATGAAGTTTGACTTTCAAGGTTACAGGGGTCAAATGTGTTTCAATCGTTTAACAGGTTCTTCTGAATGACTTGGAGTCAAGACACTGATATTTTGCTTGTAGCTTTATCTGATTCCCCTTTTAAGGTTACAATTGTGAGATTAATACCAGGTGAGCGATGCAGGCCCATTGGGCCTCTTGTTTCATTTGAATGACCATTTTCGAGGTCACATTTACTCAAATATGTTTAAACATTTAAATTACCTAATTTCAATAAACAAACGGATAGTTAGGTGATGTTTTGCAAGTTGGATCCTGAGATAAAGGCTAAAAGATTCGTTTAACATAATCACCTTGTTCGACTTTCAAGGTCACAGGAGTGAAATGTTTCTAAATCTTTCAACAGGTTCTTTTGAATTACTTTTAATTATAAATGCTGATATTTTGCCTTAAGCTTCATTTAAGATCTTTTTTAAGGTTACAAATGTGAGATGTATTCCAGGTGAGCGATGCAGGCCCATTGGGTCTCTTGTTTTTGAAAAACTCTTTTTGTAATCGATAGGGAATTTTGATGTATTTATTTTTTCTGCAACATTTTCCGTTAACGTCCTATGGCGTGTTCATTATTGCCTTCGATCTTTTTTGAAACTGACAATATTTTTACAAACTTCAACAATCTTCTTCTCTAATTCTGCCATTGCAATATTAACCTAAATGGTACATGTATTTCTCTGAGGGCCCTTACAAACTTATGTTACTTTTTGGAGCAATTAATATTCTAAAATGGCCACCACGAACACTGATTGGTTAACAGCCTATACCAATATATTTCGTTGACGATATCAAGTACGAGGTTGATCTTTGGATATCATATAGAGATAAGACAGAGCAAACATTTTCTTGCATTCTGTTTTAACAAAAAATGTCAATGGACGGTTTTCGGTAGAGGTCAAAGTTGAAATGCACTACATTGGGTAACAAACTTTAAAAATCTTCTGAAGTTTCACAAGGTCTAGAGTCTTGATATTTTATAGTTAGGATGCTGAGTTGTTTGGGTATCAGGTTTGAAAAAATGGTTGACCTTGATCAACTTTCAAGGTCACAAAAGTCAAATGTTTAAAAAATTAAAATTTCTTTAATCAAGAATATTTCGAAAAATTGTTCTATAGATACACTTTATATTCAGGTATGATGTGGACAACACAAATGTGCATATTTTTGGCAGGAAACATTTTGAGTTGACTAGGTCAAGTTTTGATTTATTTAGGGGTCAACTTTCATATGTGCTATTTCAAGATAATGACCTAAAAAAACTTTTTCCAAAGTTCTACAAGGTCTAAAGTCCTACTATTTGATACATAACATTGTTAGGTAATTGATTATCAGGTTTGTAAAAATGATTGACCTTTAATGATTTTCAAAGTCACAATGGTCATATGTAAAAATATTGAATTTACTTTTTCTGAATAACCAATAATTCCAGGGTAATGATGTTTGGCAAGAAGCATGCTTGAATAAAGGGCTATAAAGTGTGTGCAAATGAATGACCTTGACCTACTCTAAATATAATTTCAAAAGTGAAAGTCAAAAACCATTTTCATTTTTGTGTGATTTTGAAGTTTTCTCATTTTTAGCCCACCATCATCTGATGGTGGGCTATTCAAATCACCCTGCATCCGTGGTCCGTGGTTCTGTTGTCCGTCGTCCGACCTTAAACAATTCTTGTTATCGGTATTTCTCAAGAAGTACCAGAGGGATCTTTCTCAAATTTTATATGTAGGTTCCCCATGGTCCTTAGCTGTGCAGGGCAACTTTTGAGACTGATCGGATAAACAACATGGCCGACAGGCAGCCATCTTGGATTTTGATAGTGAAAGTTTTTTATCGCTATTTCTCAAGAAGTACGAGAGGAATCTTTCTCAAATTTTATATGTAGGTTCTCCTTGGTCCTTAGCTGTGAAGGGTATTGATATTTGGTCTGTAGCATGCTAAGATGATGGGCTACAAGGTTTATGGACATAAAGTACCATCAAAGATCAACTTCCGGTATTTGATAGAGGTCAAATTCAAAAATGTAATTTTGCTACAAATTTCAAAGATACCAGAACTTTTTGCGAGTCACTTCCCTTCCACCAGTAGTAAAAGTCCTGGGTGAAAATTCACCTACAAAAATATAACCCAAGGCAAAAGTTTAACACCTTTTTGGTTCCGCTATTAAGGAGTACTGCTAACATTTCTGAACTTGATTTATCCTTGACAAGGTAATCAATTTTCAACATTTCAAATTTTAAAAATATTTACCTCAATGGTGTGATATAGTTGAACAGCCAGTCAAATTGTTAGCCAACTATTTCTAGTTGATCTATCATGTTTGATAAATTATTTTTCCTTTACCATTTATTATTCAGAAATATTTCTTAATTCAACCATACAAAACAACTGGTCATTTAACATGTGACGGGTGTCAGTTTCTGCTCATTGATTTAAAATTAATGTTTGTATGTTTTGTTTCAGAATGACATGCTGGTTCATATCAGAAATGATTCTAATACCTCAAATGAAGTAAGTATCTTTTGACATTGCAGGATTATGTGTGAATTATATTTCCACACTTTGGTTTCTTCATGATAACTTGCTTGAATATTGTTCAATTTTTATGAAACTATATAGGTAAGCATGTACAAAATACAAAGACTAAGGCTATGTTAATTAGAAGTTGAACGAAATGTATGCATAATTATTAATTAGCATACTTCGAACTGATTGGTTTACAGTGTCCACACAATAAATTAGCCAAATATGACATGATTCTGATGAAACTTGGTCAATATTTATGTTATAGAAAAGCAAAGGCCAAATTATATGTTGATTAAAATCTGCACATAATTAATAAGCATACTACATTTTGATAGGATTGGATAGGCTTCCTATGTCGCTTGGTCAATATTTACACTTAGAAAATAGAACTGTACTATTATATAATGAGAAGTTCAAGAAGAACTGTACTATTATATAATGAGAAGTACAAGAAGGGAGTAATTATTTTTAGCTCACCTAGTCCAAAGGCAAAGGGAAAGGGCACTCAATTTTGTATAAACAGAGATTGTTGCCCCCTGGGGCAGAGGGGTTAGGCCAAATAGGGTAAATTGAGGCGAATCTCTTAAAAATCATTCTTTAGTATATTCCGAGGGATTTTCACCACATTTTGTGTAGGACATCCTTGGGCATAGGGGACTCAATTTTGTATGAACAGAAGGACTGCATGTGGCTCCCCTTAGGGCAGAGGGGTTGGACCCATAAGGGGGAACATAGGGATACATTTTTAAAATGCTTCTTCTGAATGCATGGATTTGAAATAGATTTTATGTAGAGCATCCTAGAATAAAGTGGACCATTTTTGCATAAATGGAGGGTATTTTCCCCCACCCCCTTTGGGCAAAGGGTTGGGGCCTAATAGGGAATATTTAGGTAAATCTTTAAAATTCTTCTCTTTCTGAACATATGGGGATTTCAAGCAAGTTTGTCAAGAACATTCTTGATAAATATGTATATTAGCGGGAGAGGGCCGGGGTGGAGCCCATCAGAAAGAATGTACCATAAAAACCCGTGTAATTTGCGCAGGTACTTTTTGAGGCCGAAAGTCCCCCAAAAAGCTTCTACTCAGATATTTTGCGCTGCCATAACCTCAGGGGCCATGAAGGGAAAATTAACCGATATTTCAAAAATCTTCTTCTTTAGACTGAGAGTTATTACTACACTCAATTTCCCTGCATGGATGGAAATTCCATTAGGGGCTTTATCAACTTTTAGCTCATGCCATGGCGCAGCGTACGTCGTCCGTCCCTCGTCCGTCCGTCAACTTTTCCTTTAAAACGCTACTAGTCCTGAAGGGCCAAGTAGATTTCGACTAAAGGGCCGGTTTCCAAAACGGCCCCTTCTCTGCTTCAAATTTCCTGTTGGTGGTGCATTGCCCATGCCGTTGTGGTCACAAATCTATAAAGTATAAAGATTTAGGTCACTTGGTTTGTTTTTTATGGCTCCTCAAAGTTGTACCTTTCAGAAGCTGTCTAAGTGTTGATAAAATGTGCATGTTATGTAAAATATTAATGAAAATCTAATCAAATGATGGTCACCGTAAAGAATACATTCATGGCATGATTGTGACAAAAAATCATGTTTCCATCGCGCCATTTGGCTGTTTTATGGAAGAAACAATCTCAAAAATGCCATTTTCGATGATAACATTTTAGACACAAAAACTGTGTTTTTTAGAGAATACACCCTTTTATGGGCGTTGGATGCAAACCAATTTTTATCCTATTAAACAGTACGTAATATGCTATTGATGAGAGGAAAAATCATCAAAATGTAAGTGGTGGAACATTTTCAAATGTTGGGTTGAATTAGCCTATGGTTGAATTGCCGATTTTCGACTTTCTTTAGATAATTAACAAAAAAACGAGAGTATTTGCTCGGTATGTTGAGAATATGTACACAGATATGAAAAAAAGTGAGAGAAACACTTTTTCATAAAAAAAATCCAAGATGGCTACTTCACAAGTCCCCGTGGTTGAAGACATTGGCTGACAAATAGACAGAACAACAAACAAAACGTGTTCCTTATGATTTTGGTTGGTTTTCGCATTTACGGGAGTGTTCATAGCTACGGGCGATTGTATAATACCTATATTTATAAGTTTGGTTAGTCACATGGTAACGGGGATCTTTCATATCGAGCCCCAAACATACTTTCGACATATGCACTCCGTTGCCGCATGGAAAACTATTTCAAGTTTTGTCGGAATTTCTTTACCTGTGGTTGTAATGGTCGAGGGTTTTCCAGCGTCCTGTAATACCCAAGGTAGTACAAGATACTGGAGATGTGCGCACACATTCCCATCGTTCTCTCTCCAACTGGGCACTGGCAGTAGTAGTCCTTTATTGGGGCCTCAACATCGGGTGAAACGGTGAACCGTATCCAAACGTTATATTTCGTTTGGCTTTTGTGTCGAGAATGTATTTGACATCGGAGAAGGTCTGGAGAGTGCTGGTAAAGCCACACCTCATAGTCTCCGTCAAGCCAAAAAGCCTAGGGTGATGATATTTGGTCAGTAGCATGCTGTGATGAAGGGCAACCAAGTTTGTTCCAATGAATGACCTTGACTTTTGCCTGTAGCTTTATCTTAGTCCAGTTTTAATATTTAAGTTTACAATTGTGAGATTAATACCAGGTGAGCGATGCAGGCCCATTGGCCTCTTGTTCTTATTAAGTCTGGAGCATACATGGGCCAATGGGAGTCAATTTTGTATAAACGGTGGGTGTGGCCTCTCTGGGGGCAGAAGAGTGGGGCCTAATAGGAGAAATAGAGGTAAAACCTTTGTAATTCTTCTCCTACTGTAGGGATTAAGGTAATAGGATTGTGTCGCCATTTCTCAGTAGAATTGTTTCAATTTTTTGGTTATATTGCTTTGAATTAAAGAAAATTTTCTGCCACAAAAAAAATATAGGTTGTCATAATTTTAAGGAATTAAAATGGAAATTTATGTAAAAAGGAGTGACTTTTGAAAAAATAAATGAAAGACATAATGTTTTGCAAAATAATGTCAATAAAAATGATACTGTCACAGATGAGTATTGCATTAATGTATATCAATTTAATAAATGCTGAAATTATGTCAAATAAATTATCTATAAACGATTAAAAATTGACATTTTATAATAAAACCATATGCACATAGTCATTGCAGGTAAGAGTTATCTTTCTTGAAAAACTTCACAGTAGTGAAATAGGTAGCCGGTTTCCTGAAGTACAGAAAAATGGATACATGTGGCTCATTGATAATAAAAAACCTAAATTAATGCCTGCATTTCTTTGAAATACTTTAATATTGAGAGAAAACACAAAATAGTGAAAATAGAAAAATAGCTTTAAAATCCTTCCTTTTCTGTAGGAATGACAGGATTATGTCCATATTTGGTCTAAAGCATCCTTGGGTGAAGGAGAACTAATTTTGTAACAACGGTGGGTCCGATCCCCCTAGGGGCAGAGGGATGGGGCCCAATAGTGGAAATGTAGCAAATTCTTCAAAATCCTCCCTTTTCCTTTAGAAATGACAGGTTTTTGTCCAATTGCATTTAAATATAATCCAATTTTTAAAACGACTTCTTCTGAAGAACTGAAAGGAATAGAATCTTAATATGTGGCTTAAAGCTTCGTTGGGGAGAGCGGAACAAAGTTTGAGAACGAAAATGACCTTGACCTACTATCAAGGTCACAGAGGTCAAAGGTATCAAAAACTTAAAACCACTTCTTCTGAGAAATGGACAGGCCTACAGTCAAGATATTTGAGGGAAAGCTTCGTTGATAAAAAGAGCCCAATAAAGTTTGAGAACGAAAATGACTTTGACTTACTATCAAGGTCACAGGGGTCAAAAGTGTCAAATACTTAAAACGACTTCTTCTGAAGAACTGAAAGGTATAGAATCTTAATATGTGGCTGGTAGCTTTATTAATAAGGTCCCAACAAAGTTTGAGAACGAAAATGACCCTTACCCACTCTCAAGGTCACAGGGGTAAAAAGTGTCAAATACTTCATACAACCTTTGAAGAACTTGAAGGTATAGAATCTTAATATGTGGTGTGTAGCTTCATTGGTAACGAAGATGACCTTGACCTACTATCAAGGTAACAGGGGTAAAAAATGTCAAATACTTAAAACAATTTCTGAGGAAGAGCCAAAAAGCATAGAATCATAAAATATTATTTGGCTGGTAGTTTCAACTGATGGAGTCGTTTGTAAGTGAAATATTTGTAATACAGTATAAAATTTTATGTCAGGTGAGTGATACAGGCCCTCACGGTTTCTTGTTTCATTTTAATAGATAAAATATTTCATCCTGGCACTTTGGCCTGTTTGAATGTGGAAGCAGGCCTTGAAATTGGGATGCAGAAGACCAGGGAATATAAAATATAAAATATAACCTTTATTTATTTTACAACAATTATGAAACAAGTTATTTCAACTTATATTAATCACTCTTGTGGCCCGGATGTTAGCGCGCCCCCGTGGGGTCTTGTTGTGGGAGGAAACCGGACTACCCGGAAAAAACCCACGTGGTCGGGCAGGTGACCCCATACCTTTTCACGTCCGATCGGGGAATCGAACCCCGGCCTCCTTGGTGAAAGGCAAGTGTCTTTGTCACAGAAATTAAAAAAAAAATGAATTTTTTGCTGTGTTTGTGTTTTATGGTCATTTTCTTCAAGTAAATCAACCACATGCTTTCTTATTTTATCCTTGTGTTTGCATGGTTACCTAAACAGTGTGTATGCATATAGACCATTTTGAATGACAGGTGCAAATCTGTCAAGTTGTAGCTTGGTCAATGATTTATTATACTGAAAATAATCATACCGGGGAATTTGGGTTGACTTTCATGTCATTTTGACATATATATTTTTGCTTTGACGTTAGTATCACCATGTTTAACCGTAGCAAGTTCATTTTTACTGTGCAAGTTTTAAATGTTCAAAAAAAAAACTCAGGCCACAGGGGGGTCAGACCCACCATTTATACAAAATTGATTTCCCTTCCCCATAAAAAATATTATACAACAAAGTACAATATTGGTATTTTACTACTGATTTATGTCAACTAAAGCTCGTAGGGTGTTTTATCCCTCAAAAGGTGAAAAAATAAACTTAAATAATATAGTTAAAAAATAAGCACAAGGACCCTCAAGTTTTTTTTACTATTTTAGGAAGATGAACACAGTTTCTTTCTATCCATCAAGTATAAGTAAAAGTATAATACCAGAACTTTGTATATTAATCGTTAAATCTGCAAACAAATGTGAAAACTTAGTATTTTTTGCTCTTCAAAAATGGAGGTAGAGGTTACACGAATTTCATTTCTGAGATAAAAATATAAGTTAAAGAAATTTCATTTCCATAATTTAGAAGAAAATACAATTTTTATCAATTGTACAAACATTCATAAATTTCTGATGGCACACTTTAAAGGTATTGTATGAATTTGGTCTTCATACGGTAAAAACGATAAATTTCACCTAAAGTCACACATTATTAGTTCACCTGTGGTCTGAAGCACCAAGGTGAGCTTATGCCATAACTGTGGCGTCCGTCGTCCGTACGTCATCAATTCCTTCAAACGACTTCTTCTTAACCACTTATTGGAATTTCTTCTTAACCACTGATTGGAATTTAACTTAAGGACATCCCACCCTTCGTAATACACATGTTTTTCTTGTCGTATTTTCGTGTCGTCATTTCCGTATTGTGTAACAGGCATTCCATTACCGTAGTGTAAATTATAGTAACACCGAGTAAACAATTGTACACGTGCGTGACAATGACCTGTCAACACCCGATATTGAGACTTAACTTGGAAATGTGTAATTACACGTGCTTCTAAAATAAAGCTGATAATAGAAAGACATTAATAAACTCAGGGAAGACACTGACATAAGATCAGACGAAGAAGGCTGAATATGAGGTGCATGGAATGCAGACTGATGTGTTTTGTTTACCGACCTCACCTGTACATATCACGTGCAAACAGTAGTTCACAAGCTCTTGGTCGTAGGCTACGACTTTTGTTGTTGAGCGAGCTACGCTCTGTCTGATAAATCGTTTCACAAATGCAATTACAATACCCTGTGAAAATAGTGGTTTGTAAAATATCAAGATCCCTATCAAATGCAAGTGCATGTGCATGCACGTGATAACGTCATACCATGCAATAGCATATGGTTACATATGTACCTGACATGTAAATATACCATGCGTAAGCGAACTATGGAATGATGTCCAAAGTGTACATGATTGAGAGTAATTTTGTTCCATAAAGGAACAGTTAATTGACAATTAAATATAGCAGTTTAATTTATTTCCGTCATTTTTGGTATAGTTAAGAATGTACATGTATAGTTAAGAAAATAAGTGTCATTGTAATAATTCTATCCCTCTGCAAAAAGTTCTGATTTTTTTCAAGGTAGACAACTCTCATCAGGATCAAAATTATTGTAAAATGTAAAATAAATGAATTATAAATATAGACTGTGTGTATTTGGTTCAATTTTTCACTCTTTTTGTATGACACTATGTGTCCTGTTTGCTTTAACCTTGTATTTAGTGACTTTTATCAATACAATTTCAATAAAAAACGCTTTTTAGCTCACCTGGCACGAAGTGCCAAGTGAGCTTATGCCGTGGCGCGGCGTCCGTCGTCCGTCCGTCTGTCGTCCGGCGTCAATATTTTACTTGAAACGACTTCTAATAACGACTAATAACAAAAAGGCCTAGGGTGATGGTATTTGGCCAGAAGCAAACTAGAATGAAGGGCTACCAAGTTTGTTCAAATAAATGACCTTGATTTATATTCAAGGTCACTGGGGTCAAATATCTTTAAAACCTTTAAACTACTTCTAAATAACTGAGAGGCCTAGGGTGATGATATTTGGCCAGTAACATGCTTGGATGAAGGGCTACCAAGTTTGTTCAAATGAATGACCTTGACCCACTTTCAAGGACACAGGTTTCAAATGTCGTTAAATCTTCAAACAATTATGAGCTCACATGGCAGGAAGTGCCAAGTGAGCTTATGCCGTGGTGCGGCGTCTGTCATTCGTCCGTCGTCCGTCCGTTGTCGTCCGTCCGTCGTCCGGCGTCAATATTTTACTTTAAACGACTTCTTCTTAATAACCAAAAGGCCTAGGGTGATGATATTTGGCCAGAAGCAAACTGGAATGAAGAGCTACCAAGTTTGTTCAAATAAATGACCTTCATCTATTTTCAAGGTCACAGGGGTCAAATATGTTAAAAACTTTAAACAACTTCTTCCGAATAACCAAAATGCCCAGGGTGATGATATTGGGTCGGTAGCTAGCTGAGATGAAGGGCTACAAAGTTTGTTCAAATGAATGACCTTCACCCATATTCAAGGTCACAGAGGTCAAATATGTTAGAAACTTTAAACAACTTCTTCTGAATAACCAAAATGCCCAGGGTGATGATATTTGACCAGTAGCATGCTGAGATAAAGGGCTACAAAGTTTGTTCAAATAAATGACCTTCACCCATATTCAAGGTCACAGGGGTCAAATATGTTAAAAACTTTAAACAACTTCTTCTGAATAACCAAAATGCCCTGGGTGATGATATTTAGTCAGTAGCATACTAGGATCAAGGGCTACCAAGTTTGTTTAAATGTATGACCTTGAATCATATTCAAGGTCACAAGGAGCAAATATGTTTAAAATATTTCAACAACTTGTTCTGAATAACCAAAAGGCTCAGGATGTTGATATTTAGTTAGTAGCATATGCTGGGATCAAGGACTACTATGTTTGTTAAAGTGAATGACTTTGACTTATATTCAAGGTCACAGGGGTCAAATTTGTTTAAAATCTTTAAACAACCTCTTATGAATAACCATGGGTCCCAGGATGTTGATACTTTGCAAGTTGCATCCTGAGATGAAAGGCTATACAATGTGTTCAACATAATGACTTTGTTCGACTTTCAATCACAGTGGTGAAATGTTTTAAAAAAAATTAACAGGGTCTTTTAAATGAATTTTAATCATAAATACTGATATTTTTCCTGTAGCTTTATTTTAGATCACTTTTAAGGTTACAAGTGTGAGTTTTATACCAGGTGAGCGATGCAGGCCCATTGGGCCTCTTGTTATTCAATAGCCGAAAAGCCCAAGGTACTGAAATTAGGCCTGTAGCATTCTGGGATGAAGGGCTACGAAGTTTGTTCAAATGAATGACCTTGACCCACTTTCAAAATGACAGGGGTCAAATGTCGTTAAATCTTTAAACGACTTCTTCTAAATAACCAAAAGGCCCAGGGAACTGATATTGAGCCTGTAGCATGCTGGGATGAAGGGCTACCAGATTTGTGCAAATGAATGACCTTGACCCATTTTCAAAGTGACTGATCTCAAATGACTTAAAATCTTCAAACAACTTTTCAATAACCTAAAGGCCCACGGTACTGATATTGGGCCTGTAGCATGCTAGGATGAAGGGCTACCAAGTTTGTTCAAATGAATGACCTTGACCCACCTTCAACCTAATGTCCTTGTTCGACATTCAAGGTCACAGGCGTCATATGGTTAAATCTTTTAATAAGTTCTTATGAATCAAATACTGATATTATGACTGTAGCTATATTTTAGTCCACGTTTAAGATTACAAGTGTGAGATTTAATACATCTGTACCAGGCTAGCAATGCAGGCCCATTGGGCCTTTTGTTTGAATAACCGAGAGTCATAATTAAGGATTTTTATCCCATAACTTTATCTAAAGCAAATTTTAGAGTGTTCTTGACCCAATATGCTTCAATGTTGTATAAACCATGACCCAAATGGGGAGAGAGGTATTGGACCCAATAATTTAAGGGTGCAACACAGAGCCAATATTTGGAAATATTTGTAATCAGTATAATATTTAATGTTTAACATTTTGCTATAACTGCTTAAATATACAGGCCCTCTGGGCCCTTCTTTATTATGATACTTATAATTCTTGCTTGCGATGTATTGTGTAAATCAAAACGGATAAGAATTTGTTAAGTGTAAAATCAGACCCAACGACACTGTGCTGTCGGTTGACGATGTGGTACCATTATTACATGTTTACTTCCCCCTGAAAGGCCTGGATATTGCGCTATTTCGGTTGTAGCTAGTCTTATTACTTGATTTTCCAAACGATAAAACTGACTACACTGGATGTTGGCTTCAGGTGTTGTCATTATACGAACTATGTAAACTATTGTTAGGAGACATACAGTTACAATATCTACTCGATTTTTATGGTGTCATTTGACTAAATAGACCCTTTAATGTGTTGTTTTAAATTTAAATCTTATTGAATTTTTCTTTTACAGATATCTTTCACGTTATCCCTTGACCAAACCGTACCAGATGATCCTGACAGGAAGTATGAGCTGAAGACAAGTAAATCATTTACGACCCCTAATACAGACATTCATAATAACAATGTTATCACTGTTGCAGACAGCTATTCTAAATCTGGTCACCACAAGCTAAACTCTTGTGAGTCTGACTCGAGTGTGTGTCCTGAATGTGGTGTAATTGACAACAGTGATGGCAACGGTAATAAAGACATCCCCACAGAAACTGATCATACAGTGCAGTGCTCTGCATTTGTTCATTCTGAGGTCAGAGAGATGAGGGAAGATGTGGTTGAAGGTTGGAAATTCAGCATTCCATATTTTATTCAGTGTAAGTATTGAAGAGGGGTTAAATGCGCTTGATATGTAGCCTGAAAAAAAGGGATTTTTCAGTATAAAGATATTTAGTCTTCCATCATCAGATGGTTGGTCGGTAACATTTTACATGCTTGGATGAATGGGCCTGTAACATGCTCAAATGAAGAGCTACTTACTTTGTTCAAAAGAATGACCTAGTTATATATTCAAGGTCACAGGGGTCAAATATGTTTTAAACATTTAAACGACATCTTCTACATTACTATAATGCCCAGAATGTTGATATATGGCCTGTGGCATGCTTAGATGAAGGGCTACCAAATGTGTTCAACTAAATGACTATGGTAGCAGAGTACAGTAGCGTACGGTGGCCATGGGTGATATTTTTATACAATGAATAACCTCTGTAGTATAACATGTATCAAAATTAAAAAAAAAAATCAGCACTAAAATTGGCATATACATGATGAAGTGGACTATGTGGGCTTCATAATTTAACAAAAAAAAAAATCGAATTTGGTTTGAGACTACAATTTTGGGCATTTACGAATCTGTGTCTACACAACAAAAGCTAGCTTTTCATGTAGTCTATTTTTGTACTCAGCACATGTGTAAATATTGTGAAAAATCCACCGGAATGACCTATGCTAAAACGTGAGTATTTCTGTTACCGAGTAGGCGATATTTAATTTCAGACAGGTTTTAAGAAAAACAATTCTACTTGCGGGGGTCAAATTCTGGGTTAAAAATCATGATTTTTTGCATATTTTGGTGTTTTTTGATGTGGTAACCATGGTTTTCAGAAGTCCCAAATCTGGGGAAATCACTTATTGAAAAAAAAAATGTTCTTCTAAAAAACACCTATTAAAAATGTAGTTTATAAATATATATATATATGTAGGTGTGTTGTGCAGGATGAATCCGCTATCCATGTTTATCCGAGACATGCCCTTTATTTTTAAGGTCAAGCCATTTCTACTGTACTCTGCCACCTATGACATGTATTCAAGGTCATAGGGGTCAAATATGATTTTGAATAACCAAATGGCCAAAAATGTTGATATTTGGTCAGGAACATGCTTAGATGAAGGACTAACAAGTGTTTTCAATTAAATGAGCATGACCCTTAAACAAGGTTTTATTTGATCAAATGTGTAGGCTGCATGCTGAGATAAAGGGCTATAAAGCTTTCCAACGTAATGACCTTGATCGACTTTCAAAGTCACAGGTGTCCAATGTGTTTAAATCTTATAGTCATAAATACTGATAATTGCCTATAGCTTTATTAGCTCATCTGCTCGAAGGGCAAGTGAGCTGATCATGATGCCATGGCGCAGCGTCCGTCCGTCCCTCCCTCCATCCGTCAACTTTTCCTTTAAAATGATACTAGTCCTGAACAGCCTTTTGGATTTTAACTTAATTTGCTCCGGAGCATACTTGGGCCAAGGACACTAAATTTTGTATAAACAGTTGGTGTGGCGCCCCTGGGGGCAGAAGTGGGGCCCAATAGGGGAAATAGAGGTTAGCCTTTAAAATCCCTCTTCTACTATAGGGATTAAGGGATTTTTATCCCAATTTAGTCTGAAGCATCCTCAGCCCAAGGTGACTCAATTTTGTTCAAACAATGGGTGTGGCCCCCCTGGGGGCAGAGAAGCAGGGCCCTATAGGGGAAATAGAGGTAAAACTTTTAAATCCTTCTTTTTCTACCATACGGATAAAGGAATTTCATCCCAATTTGTTCTGAAGCATCCTTAGGCCAAAGTGACTCAATTTTTAGCTCACCTGGCACAAAGTGCCAAGTGAGCTTATGCCGTGACGCGGCGTCCGTCCGGCGTCAATATTTTACTTTAAACGACTTCTTCTTAATTACCAAAAGGCCCAGGGAGATGATATTTGGCCAGTAGCTAGCTGAAATGAAGGGCTACAAAGTTTGTTCAAATGAAAGACCTTCACCTATATTCAAGATCACACGGGTCAAATATGTTTAAAACTTTAAACAACATCTTCTGAATAACCAAAATGCACAGGGGGATGATATTTGGCCAGTAGCATGCTGGGGTAAAGGGCTATCAAGATTGTTCAAATGAATGACCTTTACATATTCAAGGTCACCGGGGTCAAATATGTGAAAAACATTCAACAACTTCTTCTGAATAACTAAAGGGAGATGATATTTGGCCAGTAGCTAGCTGAAATGAAGGGCTACAAAGTTTGTTCAAATGAATGACCTTTAATCATATTCAAGGTCACAGAGGTCAATTGTCTTAAAAAACCTTTAAACAACTTCTTCCGAATAACCAAAATGCCCAGGGTGATGATATTTGGCCAGTAACATGCTGAGATAAAGGGCTACAAATTTTGTTCAAATGAATGCCCTTCACCCATATTCAAGGTCATGGGTCAAATATGTTTAAAACTTTAAACAACATCTTCTGAATAACCAAAATGCACAGGGTGATGATATTTGGCCAGTAACATGCTGAGATAAAGGGCTACAAATTTTGTTCAAATGAATGCCCTTCACCCATATTCAAGGTCATGGGTCAAATATGTTTAAAACTTTAAACAACTTCTTCTGAATAACCAATATGCACAGGGTGATGATATTTGGCCAGTAGCTAGCTGAAATGAAGGGCTACAAAGTTTGTTCAAATGAAAGACCTTCACCTATATTCAAGATCACACGGGTCAAATATGTTTAAAACTTGAAACAACTTCTTCTGAATAACCAATATGCACAGGGTGATGATATTTGGCCAGTAGCATGCTGAGTTAAAGGGCTACAAAGTTTGTTCAAATGAAAGACCTTCACCTATATTCAAGATCACACGGGTCAAATATGTTTAAAACTTGAAACAACTTCTTCTGAATAACCAAAATGCACAGGGGGATGATATTTGGCCAGTAGCATGAAATAGAGGTAAAACTTTTAAATCCTTCTTCTACCATAGGGATTAAAGGATTTCATCCCAATTTGGTCTGGAGGATCCTTAGGATAAGTGAGATAAAGGGCTACAAAGTTTGTTCCAATGAATGACCATCACATATAGTCAAGGTCACAGGGGTCAAAAATGTTAAAAACTTTAAACAACATCTTCTCAATAACCAAAATGCCCAGGGTAATGATATTTGGCCAGTAGCATGCTGGGGTAAAGGGCTATCAAGATTGTTCAAATGAATGACCTTTACATATAGTAAAGGTCACAGGGTTCAAATATGTGAAAAACATCCAACAACTTCTGAATAACCAAAATGCACAGGGCGATGATATTTGGCCAGTAGCATGCTGAGATAAAGGGCTACAAAGTTTGTTCAAATGAATGACCATCACATATAGTCAAGGTCACAGGGTTCAAAAATGTGAAAAACATTCAACAACTTCTTCTGAATAACTAAAATGCACAGTGTGATGATATTTGGCCAGTAGCATGCTGAGATAAAGGGCTACAAATTTTGTTCAAATGAATGACCTTCACCCATATTCAAGGTCATGGGTCAAATATGTTTAAAACTTTAAACAACTTCTTCTGAATAACCAAAATGCCCATGGTGATGATATTTGGCCAGTAGCATGCTGGGGTAAAGGGCTATCAAGATTGTTCAAATGAATGACCTTTACATATAGTAAAGGTCACAGGGTTCAAATATGTGAAAAACATTCAACAACTTCTTCTGAATAACCAAAATGCACAGGGTGATGATGATGTTTGGCCAGTAGCATGCTGAGATGAAGGGCTACAAAGTTTGTTCAAATGCAAGACCTTCACCTATATTCAAGGTCACACGGGTCAAATATGTTTAAAACTTGAAACAACTTCTTCTGAATAACCAAAATGCCCAGGGTGATGATATTTTGCCAGTTGCATGCTGAGATAAAGGGCTACAAAGTTTGTTCAAATGAATGACCTTCAATTATATTCAAGGTCACTGAGGTCAATTGTCTTAAAAAAACTTTAAACAACTTCTTCTGAATAACCAAAATGCCCAGGGTGATGATATTTGGCCAGTAGCTAGCTGAGATAAAGGGCAACAAAGTGTGTTCAAATGCATGACCTTCACCCATATTCAAGGTCACAGGGGTCAAAAATGTTAAAAACTTTAAACAACATCTTCTCAATAACCAAAATGCCCAGGGTAATGATAATTGGCCAGTAGCATGCTGAGATAAAGGGCTACAAAGTTTGTTCAAATGAATGACCTTCACCTATATTCAAGATCACACGGGTCAAATATGTTTAAAACTTTAAACAACTTCTTCTGAATAACCAAAATGCCCTGGGTGATGATATTTGGCCAGTAGCATGCTGGGGTAAAGGGCTGTCAAGATTGTTCAAATGAATGACCTTTACATATAGTAAAGGTCACAGGGTTCAAATATGTGAAAAACATTCAACAACTTCTTCTGAATAAACAAAATGCACAGGGTGATGATGATGTTTGGCCAGTAGCATGCTGAGATGAAGGGCTACAAAGTTTGTTCAAATGCAAGACCTTCACCTATATTCAAGGTCACAGGGGTCAAATATGTTTAAAACTTTAAACAACTTCTTCTGAATAACCAAAATGCCCTGGGTGATGATATTTAGTCATTAGCATACTAGGATCAAGGGCTGCCAAGTTTGTTTAAATGTATGACCTGGAATCATATTCAAGGTCACAAGGAGCAAATATGTTCAAAATATTTCAGCAACTTGTTCTGAATAACCAAAAGGCTCAGGATGTTGATATTCAGTCAGTAGCATATGCTGGGATCATGGACTACTATGTTTGTTAAAGTGAATGACTTTGACTTATATTCAAGGTCACAGTGGTCAAATTTGTTTAAAATCTTTAAACAACCTCTTCTGAATAACCATAGGTCCCAGGATGTTGATACTTTGCAAGTTGCATCCTGAGATGAAAGGCTATAAAATTTGTTCAACATAATAACTTTGTTCCACTTTTAATCACAGGGGTGAAATGTTCAAACAAAAATTAACAAGGTCTTTTGAATGAATTCCTGTAGCTTTATTT